TTTTGTTACTGTTAGTGCTATTGAATCTGTTTCGACACATTTCAACCCTCTATATACAAATGAAGCCACCCTCAAAATCATTCCAAAGCCACCCTCAAAATCATTCCAAAGCCACCCTCAAAATCATTCCAAAGCCACCCTCAAAATCATTCCGCCCTTTGTCCTTCCTGAAAAGATACCCAAAACATGGGAGAGGAAGTCTTGCTAACTCACTTTTAAGAATTCTGGTGGTAGTCCTTCCAAATGCATTTGCTCCTTCTTCCAGTCGTCCACGCTCTCTGCACTGATCTTCGCCAGCACCACAAGTCCAAGATGTCGATCCTTGTTGGTCTTCCCAATTGCTCAGCTTTTCCATGCTTATGAAGCAACTGAAAATACCAGGACTTGGGTCAAGCACACTGTAGGTTCCAAATTGACATCTTTTCTTTTAAAGAGTTCTTTTGCAGAAGATTTACCCAATGAAATACATCATTTGATTTTCTGACCGCTGCATCTATGATGGTTAATTATGGATATAAATAAAATGGAATCTTTGTCATATTCAATAATTTCTCCATTTATCATGATGTTGCTTATTGGACTAGTTGTGCAGAGGTTTGTTTTCTTTGCGTTGAGCTGCAATTCATACTGAAGGCTGTAGTCTTTGATCTCAATCTGTAAGTATTTAAAGTCCTCTTTACTTCAAGCAAACAAGGTCGTGTTATTCTATTTTTCAGGCTGCTAATAAGACTTTTCCCAATCCTGAGGCCATGTTCTTCTTTATATAATACAGTAGAGCTTCCAGGATTATTTGCACAGCAAACAACTGAATAAGTATGATAAAAAGATACAACCCTGGTGCACATCTTTTCTGGTTTTAAACCCCTTGCTCTGTTATAATGACTTCCTCTTGTTCAAATCCCTCATGAACACCATTAAGTGTTTTGGTATTCCCATTCATAGCAATGTTAACCACAATCTGTATGACCCACATAGTCAAATACTTTAGCATAGTTAATAAAATACAGGTAAATTTGTTCCTGTGATTCTGTGCTTTCAGCCAATCCATCTGAATTCAACAGTGATATCCCCTATCCTATGTCCTTTTCTTAGCTCAAGCTTGAAGGCTTTACTCCTATGGGTTTTTTTTTAGTATTTTTTTTAATTTTTAGTATTACATGTAACATTCACTTTTATTTAATTGTCTATACATTATAAATACTGTCATCTCCATTTCCAAGATGTCAATATTCAGATAAGCAAAATGAAATTATTTATAAATCTTTTGGTCATTAGTGGTGATTGTGTTGATCATTAATTCTTATATTTAAGTCATTGACCTATTTTTAATTAATTTCTGTACAGGTAATCCAAAATTTATGAGATATTCAAGTTACTGTGTGAGACATACCTTAACAACATTATGACATAAGCCACACTTATGAAAATATAGTCCAGTATTAATCATGTATACTATGGACAAATCTTACAGCACATAATTTGCAGATGTTATCATTCTCATATGTAATGTTTACAATCCCCAAAAACAAATAAAGATGATGTTTACAAAGATACTGATAAAAAAAGGCACTCAATAATAATGAAAACTTTTTTAAAAGATGAATTAGACTTAAATCAGGACCAACTTTTGATGGGATAGACATGGTAAGAGAACCCGTCATAACTTGGATACTACCTTTATCTTTCATATAGTTGATGAATTGGTCCAATTTCACTTTTCTCTCTGTGGCGATCCAGTTGTCTCAGACCATTTGTTGGAGATACTATTCTTTCCCTATTTAATGGATCTGGATCCCTTATTTAAATCAATTAGCCAAATATGTATGGGATTATTTCTGGACTCTCAATTCTATTCCATTGGTCTATATTCTTATATGAATGTCACATTTTATTGATTGTTGCAGCTTTGTAATAGTATGCTTAGATATTGGAAAATGGGCTGAATTACTGGTAAGGCCTTTTTCAATCTTATTTTAGCTGCCCATGGTCTCTTGCAATTCCATGTTAACGTGTGCCGGAGAGATGAGTTTTACTCATGGCCACCTATAGACCAGAATAGGAGCCCTATGGGGCTGTCTAGGTGGCAATCATTGTGGGAGCTCTTGCAGAGCTGCTAACTGGTTTAAACTGCTGATTTTTTGACTAGCGCTTAACCACTGTGTTATGAGGTCCTTTTGAAATTTCATGTGAATTTGAAAATTGGCTTTTACACTTTACAAAATTGCTTGTTGAAATTTTGATAGGTGTTGTGTTGATGGGTGTAGATTACTTGGGGGTAATATTGACATCTTAACATTGTGTTTCAATACATAAACATGTGGCATCTTTTCATTTATCTAGGTTTTCTTTATTTTCAGTATGTTTTATAATTTTCATTGTACAAGTCTTTCATCTCCCTGGTTAAATTTATTGCTATATATTTTATTCCTTTATAAGTGGAATTGCTTTCTTAATTTAAATTTCAGCATGCTCACTGTTACTGTATAGCAGTATAGCAATACTGCATTAGCACAACTAACATATATGCATTTATGGTTTTGTACCCCGCCACTTTGCCAAAATTCATTTGTTAGTTTTGTAATTTATTTATATAGTCTTTTGGATTTTCTACATAGAGTTCTAGATATGAATCTATAGGATTTTCTACATATAGCTTCATGTCAACTGCTAATACATGTCATTTGCTTCTTTTCTGATTTACATGCCTTTTATTTCTTTTTCTTGCTTAGTTGCTCTGCCTAGAATTCCCAATACAGTGGTATATAGCAGTGGTGAAAGTAGGCATCCGTATCTCTTTCTGACCTTCTGGAAGGTTTTATTTATCTCGTCTATCGTTTTTTGTTACTCCCTTTCTTCTCCAAACTTTAGCTGGTTCTTTCTTCATTTTCTAGTTTCATATGTTGTGAATTTAGGTTATTTATTTGAGGCATTTCTTTTTATAATGTAAGCATTAATAGCAAGAATGGGAAATGTCTGGCCTACCAGCTGTATAAAGCCCGAAAAATCATTTGGTCTGGCCCTGCCAAGACAACCACAGGCAAGAATCAGCATTAAATAAATATAGGAGATTTTTTTCCATAGCCACATGTTTATATTAAATGAATCATAATAATACATTTTGAAGAACAAGCAAGGAACAGCCATTCTGGATTAGACAGGCCATTTAGAAGTACATGATGGGACAGACACTTTTTGTTGACTGCCAATGGCCTTTGTGCATCGGGGTGAGTCAGAGGACAGCCAGTGCCAGGCAGAACAGGAGTGTACACGTCACAAAGAGTCTACACACTGTGGTGAAACCACAGCAATTCAGTGATGATGAGACAAGATGCAATGAGATGATTCCTCACAGTGTTGATGACCTTGCCTCCAATGAGTGATGACAATGTTGTTGACCTCTTTGTTGACACAGATGATAACCAACCTGTCTCCACATATCCACGGTCAATAATCTTCACAAAGCTGAATCTTAGATGAAGATTACAGAACCTACAGAATACAGAAAAGATCTCCAGAGTGGATGATGTGTGGGATATGTTCTAAAACCAAGATGCAGGATTAAAACAGCAATCAAAGCAAAATAATCAAGTCTCAGGAGACACACACACTGGCTAGTTATAAAAATTTACATGGTGTGACATCCTACAAATGGACATTACAAAGATAGAAAAGTTGATGCTTATTGATCTTTCCAAGAGAAATGGAAAATGATTTTTTTTATTGACATCAAAGGCAAACCTGTGTCTAGTTTGTGGCAGTTCATTAGCAGTAATGAAAAAAATCAAATGGGAATGTCATCGCAGCTCAAAACATCTAACCTCTCTTAATTGGGAGGCCAAATGTGTTGATAATCAATACTCTTCAGAGGAGTTGGGAATCACAGCAAGCCGCTTTCACTAAGCCTCATTGTTACAGAGACAACATTATTCAGATTAGTTAGGTAGTTTGAGTG